ACCAATTACTTGGATATTTGTATTTACGCTGCAAGTGTTATAAATTGTTTATATTCATTTAACTTATAATGGATTACTTTCTTGTCATGTGGTTTGTGTTTTAACAGATTTTGTTTTTACTTTGGAAACTGATCGATGATATCTTATGATTGCATCTTTTTAACGAACTGGGTCCTAAATGCTATAAGAGGGACTCGACTCATTAATTTATTTAAAGACTCAACTCGTTAAAACACTGCAACTACAAGAACCAAACTTGTTAAATATACAGTAAAATAGGAACCCAATTCGTTAAAAAAATGCAACCATAATAACAGGTTTTATTAAACTCAAGACCCGTTAAAAACACCAAATTATAAGAACGAAAAATGTAATTCGCTCTTTAATTTATTAAATTTTACATCATATATAAAAAACATTTGAAAATATACATGGTTTTATGATGTCAAATATTTAGAATATGATTACGTATTTTTTTTTTAAATGCATGAGTAATTTTTTAATATCAATTTTTATAAGTGAATGTTTTTCTTACAAGTAGAAAATCGCAAAGCATGACAATTATGTAACTAGTTTTATTACTTAAAAATTCTTAAGCACGTATTATTTATTTCTATCAATATCATATACAATAAACTATACAAAAATATCGAGATAAAAATGAACAATTCAGTTAACTGATCAGTTTTAGGGTTGGTCATAACCTACAAAAGTCTTTACTGGTCCTAACATAAAGGTCCCAACCTAAACCTGTCTTTAAAAAAAAGGTAGTAGGTCTAATCATAAACGATGGAACTATTCCTTTAACTGGTACACCTAATTAGTTCATTTTTATAATATTAGCTATTTTTTATATTATATATCAATGTGATATTATCAATTGGTACTCTAAAGTTTATTCCTTAAAATCTTGATTAAGTTTTTTTGGTAACAATGGTTACCATTTTCGTACACTTTTGGTTGTTTTGACTAATTTCTAGGAACTCCAGGTGTTTTGTCTATGATTTTATTTCATTTTTAAAACCTAATCAATATATTATATAATATATATATACACACACACATATATATATATATATATAGATGAAGGTTCAAACGAAAACACCTCCATTTTACGAGAACACTAGAACATCCTTATCACATGTGATAATACACTTGAGGGGACTTGGTGGTGTATGGATGTCGTGCCTTGCGACTTAGGTCGCACCAAGATTGTGTCAAAAGTTATCACATGTGATAGTACATGTGAGGGGACTTAGTGGTGTAAGGACGACTTGGCCTATAACCTAGATTGTGTCAAAAGTTATCCACGTCTCTGATTAAGAATCACATGTGTATCATATGTAATCGAATAATAGTATCACATGTGATTGTTTATGGTAAAAAAAGATGTTCTCGCATTCTTGTAAAATGAATGTGTTCTCGTTTGAACCCTTCCATATATATATATATATATATATATATATATATATATATATATATATATA